ATATAAATACTGTGGTTTTTGTCTGTGGAAAGTTAGGTTAGGTTAGGAAGTCGCGTCGTACTTCCACTCGGGGGGCAGATTTGCCCATTGTGAATGCCATCTGTGAGTGTCAGGAGATGGCACATCCTTCCCCCTCCCTGTGGAGTTCCCCTTTGTTGTTCTTCTAATCACGGACCCTGTGCCTACAGTTGCGTTGATTACTCTGCATCATTTCGATCCACGCAACTATGTACTGCTAGATGCGGTGCCTCTCCAGGGTTCGGCCAATTGCTTCCGTTTCGACGTGGTTGAAAGCGCCCTCAACATCTAAGAAGCTGGCTAAGGCGTATTCCCTGTATTCCAGTGAGTTGTCAATAGTACCGACCACTTCGTGGAGAGCGCTATCGACTGATCTATTCTTGCGGTAGGCATGCTGCGCTAAGCGTCTATGGAAACTTTTACTTGATACATACTCGCACAGCCTGATTCTGTGCATTTGATAAACTCAAAATTTTTATAACTTGTCGATTTTTTATTATTTATCAAGAACTGGGATTCTAGCACAAAATGAAAAGTTCCTTTCTTGATAAATTATCATGGTGAACTTATACCAGGTAAATTAAATACAGCGAGAAGAAAGATTTGACACTATCTTATTTGAAAATTGGCTTGAAAAATGTAAAATAAGATAGCCGAATGTCCGGAAAATAAAGCGAGAAAGCTGTTTTATTACGTCACCTCTTTTTAAGTCCACCATGATAAATTATCAAGATTGGAAATGCTATTAACAAGCGTTTACAAATTGAAATTTCATGTTAAAATTATAAATTTTGTATGCATATTAAAAAATGTTTTCTATGATTTTAAATACAGCATTTGCTGACATTTGAACCGGCGGCGTACGGAATTATAGTCGACATCTCTCCCGATTCGGTTACGGCAGTCAAAAACTTTTTTGCTTTTAAATTCATATTTATAAAATGTGACAATGAAATCAATTCCCCTCATATTGAAATCATAGAGCGTTTTGTTTATAAATATTGATAAAATTTCTTTACAAATAATTTATCGAGACAACACAGAATTGGGCGGATAATTAATTTACACCAGTCAAAAGGACCCGTCCCACCAGTCACAGCTTTAAATATTTTTTAATATTTCTATGAAGATTGTACATACTTACAGTATACACCCCGCAAACATATGCTGAGCGTTCAGAATACATATATGAGTCCGAAAGGAATCCTAGGTAGGTAAGAAATATGAGTCACAAAAACAAAAAAATGTATACTCTTATTTGAATCGTTTAGGATTCATATATGATCTGAGTTATGAGCCAGCACCTTGTGCCGATATAAAAACAATAAAGATTCGAAATTTATAACTTGTTTACATAGAAATTAAAAATAATTAGAAAACAAAAAATTAAAAAAATTTAGCTGCAGCTGGTGCTATTAAATGCATGTTGTAAGTATGTATGTATGTTATTTGAAAGAAGTTTTTGCTAAATGCCCTTGCAAATATAGTGCGTTCAATAAACTCAAAGAACAACCTAAAATAAGAGTCCGAATGTAGTAATTTATGAGCCCGTCAAGAGCCTCAAAAAGAGTCTGAAATGATTCATATATGAGGCCCAAAATTGTTTTAAAAAAGTCCAAAATGAGCCGTATATGAGGTCAATAAGGGTCCAATATGACTTATATTGAGGCTCATTTGATGTTTGAATTTAAGCTCATATACATAAGTCGACCTTCGGAGGAGTTCCTCCAACACCCTCATATCGGACTCTTAAATGAGCTTATTATGAGCGTAAAAGCTCTGAAATAGGACTCCTTAAAGACTCATTTTGACTCCAAATGTTTGCTTGGCAGTAATCTAGATAGACAAAACAAAAAATATGAGTACCCAGCCCGCAAAATATCCGGAAACGTATCCGAAAATGGAAACAATTTCGTATAAAACCCTGATGTTTCATCCGTTTTCCGATTCCGTTTACGGACGGTTTTCAGATCAATTCTCCCACTAAAGTGTTCATCCGAAACGTATGGTGGTCCACCTGGACCACTTTGGGAATCACTGATTTAAATGATAGTTATGTATATAGAACTAAGAAATCGTTTGGTATTTTATTTAAAGGAATTTTATGCTTACTTATCTTATTTATCTATGTTAAAAATACCTTTCGTTGTTCTACATAGTATACATATCGAGCCCTAACCGCCAAAATAACGTAAGCGACATTTTTTTCAAAATTTT